TTGATGAAATTGTGGACTTCAATTCCCAGAATTCCTTACCCAGCATGCCTGGCTGAGGAATTCTGGGAGTTGAAGTCCACAAGTCATAAAAGGGTCATAGTTCCCTCACGCTTGGCTGAGGAATTCTGGGAGTTGAAGTCCACCAGTCATAAAAGGGCCAAGTTTGAAGACCCTTGAGATAGATAGATAAGCTTCACGGGTATTTTTTTTTTTTTACTGCAGGCACATTGGCCCACCTGAAAGGTGAAATTTAGCCGCTTGCTCTCAAAAGTGTATACGTACATAACACCCATTGAAACATGTTGTATACAACATAGGCATAAACCTACATCCTTACGTGTAAATAACATGTAAATATTAATTGCTGTGATTAAATGGAGGCCGAGTTGCCCTGCTCAGCACCATGCCAGGCATTCTGTACTCGGAGGAAGCCTCATAGGCGTCGATGGGTTTCCCAGTGGGATCCTTGGTCCCTCTGAAATTTCCTGACAGTGAGAACAATTAACCAGGGGAACAACCTGCCTCCAGAAGCGGTGAATACTCCAGCACTGGAAGTTTTTAAGAAGAGACTGGACAGCCATTTGTCCGAAATGGTATAGGGTTTCCTGCCTGAGCAGGGGGTTGGACTAGATGACCTCCAAGGTCCCTTCCAACTTTATTATTATTATCTTTCCAAACCTTCGTTGCCCTCGAGACCATTTTGAAAAGGGGGAGAAAGGAAAAGTTTGGCTAGCGAAACCGAAAAGACAGGCAGTCCTCGACTTACGTCCACAAATGAGCCAACATTTCTGTGTTGCTAAGCGAGATCCTTGTTAAAGGAGCTTTGCCCCACTTTATGACCTCTCTTGCCACGGTCGCTAAGTGAATCACTGCGGTTGTCAAGTCAGTAACACGGTCGTTAAGCGAATCTGGCTTCCCCATTGAGTTTGCTTGTCGGAAGGTCATAAAAAGGGATCAGATGAAGCTGGCAGACTGGAACACATGGAATCCGATTGCTTTCTATATACATATACATACACACACACACGCACACACAGAGATATATACACACACATTATACATACAAAGAAACAAATACATGTATATACACACATAAACATATACAGACACGTGCAGATACATACACATACATATGTACACACACATATGCATAGAAATTCACACATATACACACAAACACAGAAACACACACACATATATATATACACAAACACATGCAGAAACACATACATACATATACACAAAGAAACACACACATATACACATACATATATATGTAGGTCTTGGCGTACCTGCATATCTGTACCCGTGAAAATCTACGAAAACATATATATATATATACACATACACAAACACATACATATATATACACATAAACATATATACACACATATGTGCAGATACATATACACACACATATGTACTCACATATACAGAGAAACACACACATATATATATACACAAACACATGCAGAAACATACATATATATACACACAAACACATACATATGTACTCACATATACAGAGAAACACACACATACACACACAAACACATACATATATACACAAGACACACACACATACATATATATATATACATATATACACACACAGAAACACACACATATATGTATATACACACATACACATATATATAGTTGCAAAAGGTAATCACATCATATATCATACATAGCACATATCACATATATATCATGTGATCCCTTTTGGGACCTTCTGACAAAAGCAAAGTCAATGTGGGGGAAGCCGGCTTCACTTAACAACCGTGTCACTAACTTAACAACTGCAGGGATTCACTTAACAATCCTGGCAAAAATGTCGTAAAATTGGGCACGTTTCACTTAGCAACCACCTTGCTCAGCCACTGAAATTCTGGTCCCGACGGTCGTCGTAAGGCGAGGACTACCTGTCATGCTACTATTGAAAACTTTGTTATAGAGAAGAATCATTTACATTGGCTACAAACTGCATTCGCTCGCACTGAAAAAAACAGCAGGGCTTCAGCCAAGGGGGGAGGGGAGAATCCGCCCTTTTCAATTTCTCCCCCCCGTAGCCCCCCCCCCAATAAGTGGATTACCTCTTTTGGTTCTCCCAAGAACTGGAAAAGCACCTCCACGAGTGTAGAAAATTGCTGGGGGGAAAGGACGAAGACTGTTAGCTGCCAGGAAGGGCCTCCTGCTTCCCTTTCTCCTTGCCCACTCAAAACAAGCAGCCTATAAATTTAATAAACAGACAAACCCATAAAAGAGAGGGAGCCAGTTGGGTTGGGAGTGCAGGGGTCTCCAAACCTGGCAACTGCACAACCTCTGGACTTCAACTCCCAGAATTCCCTAGACAGACAGACTAGAAATGGGAGGCCATAACTTCAAGTCCCACGCTCACCTTCTGGGTGACTTTGAGCCAATCACCAGGAGATGGTGAGTTCTAGTCCCGCCTTAGGCATGAAAGCCGGCTGGGTGACTTTGGGCCAATCACCAGGAGACGGAGAGTTCTAGTCCCGCCTTAGGCATGAAAGCCACAGGGTGATTTTGGGCCAATCACCAGGAGACGGTGAGTTCTAGTCCCGCCTTAGGCATGAAAGCCACTGGGTGACTTTGAGCCAATCACCAGGAGACGGTGAGTTCTAGTCCCGCCTTAGGCATGAAAGCCACTGGGTGACTTTGGGCCAATCACCAGGAGACGGTGAGTTCTAGTCCCGCCTTAGGCATGAAAGCCGGCTGGGTGACTTTGGGCCAATCACCAGGAGACGGTGAATTGTAGTCCCGCCTTAGGCATGAAAGCCGGCTGGGTGACTTTGGGCCAGTCCCCTGCTCTCAGCCCAACCCACCTTNGGGGGGGGGGATTACAGAAAATGGCCGCCTGGTGTTGGAGGGGGCTTGAGCATTTACAAAATGGCTGCCGGGCAGCTGCGATCAGCCACCACAACAGCTGCCCTCGCAGGAGAGGATGACTCAGTCAATTTGCAAAACCACAAAGTCAAGAGAAGAATCAAAGAGAGAAGCAACCTAGAACTAAGGAGAAACTTTCTGACAGAACAATTAACCAGTGGAACAACCTGCCTCCAGAAGCGGTGAATGCTCCAACACTGGAGGTTTTTAAGAAGAAACTAGACAGCCATTTGTCCGAAATGGTGTAGCGTTTCCTGCCTGAGCAGGGGGTTGGACTAGAAGACCTCCAGGGTACCTTCCAACTTTACTACTACTACTACTACTACTACTACTACTACTACTACTACTACTACTACTACTACTACTACTACCTAGCTTTCAAGAAGAGACTGGACAGCCATTTGTCTGAAATGGTGTAGGGTCTCCTGCTTGGCCGCGGGGTTGGACTAGATGACCTCCAAGGCCCCTTCCAACTATTATTATTATTATTATTATTATTATTATTATTATTATTATTATTATTATTATTATTATTATTATTATTATTATTATTAATCTTCTGCCAATACTATTCTCTTTTGCCAACCTTAAATTAATACAGTTCTTATTCTTTGAAGAAATGACAATGAAATACAGACATTTTTCTCATGTTTCTGCAAATAATAACCACATCAATATAATACGGCTCTGGCTTCTCTTGACACGAGATGGAGGGGGGGGAGAAATAACCCAAAATGGGGAAGTAAAATTAAAGCCCCAGAGATGATGATAATGATGATGATGGAGGTTAGTGCCTCAATTCTACCAGTTCTTCCTTGCCTCGCCCCCCCTTGTCTTCTCCCCTTTTTGGGAGAGGGCCAAGTGGGCTGGTCATCTAACCCTATCCTGGTCTGAAACCCACCCAAAGGAGTCTGGGGGCCTTGGTGTTTCCCCCAATGCCAGTTTCTCTTTCAATCCAGACCATCTTTGTAGCTCTGGCTTGAACTGTGGGGTCCTTGGCGCTCCCCAAGCCTGATCCTAATCCCACCTCGCAGGTAGTCCTCAACTTAACCAGAGTTTGTTTAGTGACCGAAGTTACAACAGCCCTGGAAAATGTGACTTAGGACCTTTTTTCAGTTACGGCCTTTGCAGCCTTCCCAAGGTCACGTGATCAAAATTCAGACGCTTGGCAACGGACTCGTATTTACGACGGTCACAGCGTCCCCGGGGGGGTCACGTGACCCCCTTTAGCGACCTTCTGACAAGCAAAGTCAACCAGGTAGCCAGATTCACTTAACAACCGTGTTGCTAATTTAAGAACTGCGGTGATTCACTTAACAACTGTGGCAAGGAAGGTCGTAAAATGGGGCAACACTCACTTTGCAAATGTCTCACTTAACAACATAATTTTTGGGCTCAGTTACTTATCAAAACAATAAGAATTGTATTAACTTAATGTTATTTAGGGGAAAGAGGAAATCAACTAAAATTAATATGTGGAATATGGATTATAGAAATTGTTAATGATTGTTTTACAAATGTAACCCGGACAGCACACTGTTCACCAATTATTGAGTGATTTATGTTTTTTTTTAAAAAAAATCAATAAAATATATTTAAAAAGAAAAAAGAAATTTTGGGCCCAGTTGAGGTCGTTAAACTCAACTGAAAGCTTGGAACCAACTTCCAGTGGAGTTAGTGGGTGGGTCCTCTGGAACTGAGTTTAAACATTCTTGGGATAAACACATGTCCATCATGTGACAAAAATTTAAAAAATAAAAAAGTAATAAAGTAATACGTTAATCAAAAAGAAAACAAAAAAACTCAAAAAGCAGACTGGATGGAGCACTGGGTCTTTTTCTTGCCATCCCTCTCCTATGTGGTTGTTTTCTGGCAGACGTTTCATGACCCAACCGGGTAACATTATCAGGGCTAAAAGGAAGTGGGGTTTGCCCTGCATGATCCTCAGTTGGGTTGCAAAACATCTGCAAGAAAACAGGTTCAGAGAGCACCAAGGACCCCACAGTCCTCCTCCTCCTCCTCCCTTCTAGCACTGATGATGTTCCCTAGATGGGTCATGAAACGTCTGCAAGAAAACCATCCAGCTCAGAAAGCACCAAGGACCCCACGGTCCTCCTCTTCCTCCCCCCCCCACTTCTAACACTGAAGATGTTCCCTAGTTGGGTCATGAAAAGTCTGCAAGAAAACGACCAAGCTCAAAGAGCACCAAGGACCCCATAGTCCTCCTCCTCCTCCTCCACCTAACACTGATGATGTTCCCTAGTTGGGTCATGAAATGTCTGCAAGAAAACCACCAAGCTCAGAGAGCACCCAGGACCCCACGGTCCTCCTTCCCCCTCTCCCTCCTCCTCCTCCTCCTCTTCCCTACAAACTCCACTCCCTTCTAGCACTGATGATGCTGCCTAGTTGGGTCATGAAACGTCTGCAAGGAAACCACCCAGCTCAGAGAGCACCAAGGACCCCACATTCTTTCTCTTCCTCCTCCTCCTCCTTCTCTTCCTCCTCTTCCACTCTGCAAACCCTCCTCCCTCCCTTCTAGCACTGATAATGTCCCCTAGTTGGGTCATGAAACGTCTGCAAGAAAACCACCCAGCTCAGAGAACTACCCAGGAGTCCACACTTAAAGCCAGGCCTGGCACTCTTGTGGAAAACGAAAGAACTCTTACGAATTCCAGAGGGGTTAGCAGAGAAGTTTATTTGCGCAAGGTCCAGAGCATATTAGAGATAGGCAATTCTGAAGGAGGAGGGCGTGATTAGACTTCAGTTTTTATATTCCCCTCCTTAAAGAACAAAGGGCTACACATTGAAATACACACTGTGATACATTAGGAGCGTTTCTCACAGGCATAGAATGGAAGGTTTTGCTACACACAAAGTATCCATGTGCAGAGCGCATTTGGTTAGCCACATATTACTGACAAGAGAACTTTCCCAGTGAATTTTCCCAGTGATTATGCATTACATCATTGTCCTAGCAATTATGCAGACACATCATTATTGCAGTTATGCAGACAAATCACTATTCTAATAATTGTTCAATTTTACTATATTATTATATTAGCACAAAGGTGGACCAGGCCCAGATTAAAGATCTGGAAACCCCCCCCCCCCCCGTGCAAAAGAAGGCAAGGTGTTAGATCCCCAGGACCTGTTCAAGAAACCACCATGACTTGGATCGACCACAGGCCAACAAAACTTGGTTTAGTTAGGGAAATATCTCAACCCTCTGCCTGTTGGCACAGTGCCTTCCTGTGTCAGGCAGCCTGGCCCAGTAACTTCAGGCTGATTTCACTTAGCGGAAGTGGGATCAGGAAGCTGGCATCCTGGCTTAACTATGGCTTGCTGTTTAAACCACAGCTGAGGGGGGATTCTTTCTTTCTGACAGGTCCCCAACGGCCATCTCAGACCCCCGGAAGGAAGGAAGGAGCCCCCTTCCGTCCTCCGGGAAGCTCCCCCGCCCCGCAGCAGCCCACCCTGCTGGGCGACGCCCCCACCCCTTCCTTGACCAGAGCAACGGACCGGAGGGTGGGGGAGGGAGATGGGTAGGCAGCCCCGGGGACCCCTCCCCAAACCAGGACCTCTCCCACTTAACCAGGCGGAGGAGGGGCCTCTCCCTCCGAGGCCCCCTGGTGAGGGACCCCCTCCCCGCCCGGAGACCCCCCCGGCGCCCACCCAGCCCCCCCAAGCCCTGCGCCCCCCTCCCCGCCGCCACCTGCGCGCTCAGCTGGTTGAGTAGCTGCAGGTCGGCGCTGACCGCCTCCGGCACCGGCTCGCGGGTGAAGTTGAGCAGCCCCATGGCCGGGCTCGGCTCTGCTCCGCCTCCAGCCCCCCAGCCCAGCCCGGCCCCCCAGCGCTCCGCCCCACGAGCCCGGCTCAGCTGAGCATCCGCGCCGGCGCTTTGGAGCCCGGGAGCCGGACTGGCCGCGCCCCGCTCGGGGGCTGGAAGTGCGCAGCGCCGCCTCCTCCTCCTCCTTTTTTCTCTTCCTCCTCCTCCTCCTCCTCTCTGCAATTCCCATTCCCTTCGACCACTGACGATGTTCCCCAGTTGGGTCATGAAATGTCTGCAAGAAAACCAGCAAGCTCAGAGAGCACCGACTCTACAGTTCTCCTCCTCCTCCTCCCTCCTAGCACTGATGATGCTACCTAGTTGGGTCATGAAAGGTCTGCAAGAAAAGAACCAAGCTCAGAGAACATCAAGGACCCCACATTCTTTCTCTTTCTTTGTCTTTCTCTTTCTCCTCCTCCTCCTCCTCTTCCACTCTGCAAACCCTCCTCCCTTCTAGCACTGATGATGCTACCTAGTGGGGTCATGAAAGGTCTGCAAGAAAACAACCAAGCTCAGAGAGCACCAAGGACCCCACAGTCCTCCTCCTCCTCCTCATCTTCCCTTTCCTTGTCTCTGGAGGGGCATGCCTAGACCACAGTGCCGCCACCCCCCCCAGAATCCAGTTGCTCTGCCGGCTCTTTTGGTTGCCTTCTGGAAGATGTGAGTCACCAACGAACCCCTCTTTTGGCTGTGGGAACCAGCCACATTTGGGCTTCTGCGTGGCTCCAGGAGGAGGAGGAGGAAGAGGAGGAGGAGGAGGAGGAGGAGGAGGAGGAGGAGGAGGAGGAGGACTATAGGGTCCTTGGTGCTGGGTGGTTTTGCAACCTTTCTTGCCACAGTTGTTAAGTGTGCCACTGGTTGACTTTGCACGTCAGAAGGTCCCGTCATAAAGGAGAGAAGCAACCTAGAACTAAGGAGAAACTTCCTGACAATGAGAACAATTAACCAGTGGAACAACCTGCCTCCAGAAGTGGTGAATGCTCCAACACTGGAAGCTTTTAAGAAGAGACTGGACAACCATTTGTCCGAAATGGTGTAGGGTTTCCTGCCTGAGCAGGGGGTTGGACTAGATGACCTCCAAGGTCCCTTCTAACTTTATTATTATTATTATTATTATTATTATTATTATTATTATTATTATTATTATTATTATTATTATTATTATTATTATTATTATTAACCCTAACCACTTGAACACCGTTGGCATTGACAAATTCGCCATTAGTCAATTGCAAAAGGCGGCCTTACTAGGAACCGCTTCCATCCTGCGACGAGATCTGTAATGCCATCAGTCACTTTTTTTCATGCCGTTGCAACTCTGAACAGTCCCTAAACAAACTCTTGTTAGTCGAGGACTTACCTGTAATATATTAATACTGTCAGGCTAGTGAATCACAAGGAGGGAAGGATAAGGCAGAATATGGACCAAGAACCGAAACTGTGCTTTGGGGTCTCTCCTACGGGAGTTAGTCTTGAAAACAGAGGGACATAATCTGAAATTTACAGACTAAAAATCCACGCATTGTTTAAGGGCAGACAAGAAACTGACTCAGTCAATCAATCAATTAATCGACCAATCGATTAGAACAGAGCTGGAAGGGACCTTGGAGGTTTCTAGTCCAACCCCCTGCTCAAGCAGGAGACCCTATGCCACTTCAGACAAATAGCTGTCCAGTTTCTTTTTAAAAGCCTCCAGTGATGGAGCACCCACAACGACTGGTGGCAAGCTGTTCCACAAGTTAATTGTTCTCGCTGTCAGGAAGTTTCTCCTTAGTTCCAGATTGCTTTTCTCCTTGATGAGTTTCCATCCATTGCTTCCTGTCCTGCCTTGAGGTGCTTTGGACAACAGATTGACCCCCTCCTCTTTGTGGCAGCCCCTCAAATACTGGAATATTGCTATCATGTCCCCACCCCAGTCCTTCTTTTCTCTAGATTGGCCAAACCCAGTTGCTGCAATCGTTCATATGTTTTAGTCTGCAGGCCTTGGATCATCTTGGCTGCTCTTCTCTGCACTTTTTCCAGAGTCTCAACATCTTTTTTATATTGAGGTGATCAAAACTGGATGCAGTTTTCTCTAGACTGGCCGTATCCAGTTCCTGCCATATGTTTTTGTCTCCAGGCCCTTAATCATTTTAGTTGCTCTTCTCTGCACTTTTTCTTGACTCTGGATGCTGAGGGCTGCACACTAATTTTCAAAGACCAAGCAGAAATGCACAACACAATGCAGCCACCGCTGTTGCAAAGTCAGGCCTGGGCTTTTGAGTTTCAGGACCCCAGACTCCCTTTTCTGGAAGCAGCCATCTTAGCCAGCCATCGTCCCCCATTCGCAGGGTCTGGTTGCCACTTCCGGTGTTTGTTTTAAGTGTGAAGATAAAATCCATATTTCTTCTGTTACCCCCCCTTCCTGTCTCCTATTCCTCAGTGGAGGGCGGGCTGCAGAGGAAGAGGAACAGGGCTTCCTGTGTGGGCTGTCCAGGGGGGGCTCCTTCTGGGGTGACCCCAGGCAATAAAGGGGAGGGGAGGCTTGGATGCCCAGCCCCAGGGATGCTTTTAAAGAATAGAGGGTTGCATGAGGATGAGAAGTGGGGAACAAATAATTCTGTTTTTGTTTGTGTGCGTGTGTGTCTTTGTGCGGGCACAGGTGCCTTGATAGAGAACTGGATAGGTGAGAGTAATGGGTGGATCAGAAGAGGGGAAAACTATGTATTTCTTTGTGTGTGTTAGTGTGTTTGTGTATGTGTATTGGAGGAATTGGATAGGTGAGAGGGAAGCTCAGAAAAAGGCAAAATTGTGTTTCTGTGTGTGCCTTAGTGTATTTGTATGTGTTATAGGGAAAGGGTGGGTCAGAAGTTTAATGAAGAGAAGGAGTTTAATGAAGAGAAGGACGAGGGGGGACAGGATAGTACTGTTCCAGTATCTCAGGGGCTGCCCCAAAGAAGAGGGAGTCAAGCTATTCTCCAAAGCTCCTGAAGGCAGGAGAAGAAGCAACGGGTGGAAACTCATCAAGGAGAGAAGCAACCTGGAACTAAGGAGAAACTTCCTGACAGTTAGAACAATTAACCAGTGGAACAACCTGCCTCCAGAAGCGGTGAATGCTCCAACACTGGAGGTTTTTAAGAAGAGACTGGACAGCCATTTGTCCGAAATGGTATAGGGTTTCCTGCCTGAGCAGGGGGTTGGACCAGATGACCTCCAAGATCCCTTCCAACATTATTATTATTATTGTTGCTGTTGTTGTTATTGTCATCGTTATTATTATTATTATTATTATTGTTGTTGTTGTTGTTGTTATTGTTGTTGTGGGGAAAACGGTGGGCCTGTGTGTGTTAGTGTGTTTGTGTATGTGTGTTGGAGGAGTTAGATAGTTGAGAATTAAGGATGGATCAGAAGTGGGAAACATATTTGCCTCTGCATGTGTTTAGTGTTTGTGTGTGTTGGGGGGGAAATTGGATGGGGTGGCACCCAGCCACATGTTATCCTGGGGAGGGAGGGGGCTGTCCTAAGACACACACACCCAAGCAAGCATTGAAATGCAGAAAGGCTGCAAATGGTGGAATAATGCCTGCATATTCAAATCTGCCTTGGAGTGATTCTGCAGGAAATCACCTTGTAAAAGGCCTTTTTGTTATGAGGATCAGCCTGGAGGCTGCCTGGAAAAAGAGAAGGAGAAAGAAAAGGAGAAAGAGAAGGAAAGAGGGAAGGAGAGAGGAGAGGAGGAGGAGAAGGAAAAGGAGAAACAGAAAGTGGAGAACGAGGAGGACAAAGGAATAGGAGATGGAGAAAGAGAAAGAGAAGAAAGAAGTGAAGGAGGAGGAAAAGGAAATGGAGAGGGGAGGAGGAGAAAGAGGAGGAGGAGGAGGAGGAGGAGGAGGAGGAGAAAAAGAGAGGGAAAAAGAGGAAGAGGAGAAAGAGAATCAGAATCAGAATTGAAGGGACCTTGGAGGTCTTCTAGTCTAACCCTCTGCTCAAGCAGGAGACCCTAGCCTAGACCATTTCAGACAAGTGACTGTCTAGTCTCTTTCTAAAAACGTCCAGTGATGAAGCACAGAAGAGGAGGAGAAGGAGAAGAAGGAGGTGGAGAAGGAAAAGAAATGAGAAGGGGAAGGAGAAAGAAGGAAATGGAGAAAGAGAAGGAAAAGGAGAAAGAGAAAGGAAAGGAGAAGAAAGGGGAAGGAGAAAGAAGGAGAAAGAGAAGAGGATGGAGAAAACAGGAGAAAGAGAAGGGGAAGGAGAAAAGGAAAGGAGAAAGGGGGGGGACAAAGAGAAGGAAAAGGAGAAAGAGAAAGGAAAGGAGAAAGAGAAGAAGAAAGGGGAAGGAGAAAGAGAAGGAGAAGAGGGAAAGGAGAAGAGGAAGGAGAAAACAGGAGAAAGAGAAAGAGAAGGGGAAGGAGAAAGAAGGAAATGGAGAAAGTGAAGAAGAGAAGGAAAAGGAGAAAGAGAAAGAGAAGAAAAAGGGGAAAGGAGAAAGAGAAGGAGAAGGGACGGGATTTATTTTTTGGCAAACCTGGGGCTTTTGCAAAAGGGAATCAGTCCCAAGGGGGACAAAATCCTCTCTTTTTTTTGGCTAGCAAGGAAGAAAACCAAGCAGGACTTTGTGCCCCCCCCCTCCCTTTGGAAACTGCCTGATTGCAAGTCCTGGGAGGGGGGAGTGCTAAGGGGGAGGGGGAGCCCTAAATTGAAAGAAGTGACCTTGAGGCTGCTTTGTCAGGCAAAAGACCCTTAATTACCTGGGAAAAGCTGCCCCTCCAGGGCCTTTCCCCTTGAAAAGCCCCCCCCACCCAAAGGGAGGGTGGGAGGGGCAGGTGTTGCCCAAAGGCTGGCACACTTGGCCTGGAAGGGGCACCACCTCAGGGCTGAGCCAAGTGGTCAGTCTCTCCCTTTGTTCCTTCATGGTTTTTTTTTTTGTTTGATTAAATGGATGTGGCCTCAATCTCCCTCTCTTGCAACTAATTCAGCTAAAATTCTTAGGAATTGTAAACATTGGGCTGGCA